AGGCGTTCCAGGCGACGGTGGTCTCCTTGATCTTGTCGCGGTCGAGCTTGTTGGCAGTGAGGAGGGCGCGGAACTCCTCGTTGGTGATGCTCCCGGGCACCAGGCCCAGCGTCTTGCCGTAGAGGTCGCGCGGATGGGCGATGCGGTCCTCTCCGCGCGTGTAGATCACGGTCGGCGTCTTGGCGTAGTAGACCGCCAGGCTCTTGACCGGCACGCCCCTTGGAGCGGCCCGATGGCGGTGGCGATGCCGCTCGACGAGCCGATCCAGTACTGCTTGCCCGAGCCGATCATCTCGGCCGATGAGATCGCGCCCTGGGTTTCCGCGAAGGTCACCTCCAGGCCACGCCGTTCGAAAGCACCCATCTCCCGCGCGAGATAGAAGCCGCCGAAGGTCGGCAGCGCCTTCCAGTCGAGCAGAATCTCGACCTTCTGCAGCGAATCCGGCGCAGGCTGCGCGAAGGCGGGCAGCGGGCACAGCAGGGCCAGGGCGGAGGCGAGCACCAGGCGACGGCTGGAAGGCATGGCGTGACTATCCTGAAAAGACCGGAAGGCGAACATTGATGGTGAAACATGTCATAACCGCGTCCGGGTAAGGGAGCGATTTCGCGGCGACTGCGTTTTTGGCCAGTGAACGAGAATGCCCCTCCGGGCCGCTTCAGGCGGTTGCTGATCGAAACTGTCGAAGGCTTCATCGACGACGACGCCTTCAGCCGGGGCGCCTCGATCGCCTATTTCACCCTGTTCTCACTGGCGCCGACGCTGCTGCTCGTCATTGCTTTCGCCGGCCTGGTGTTCGGCCGGGACGCCGCCCAGGGCGCGGTCGTCGAACAATTGAGCGGCCTCATGGGGCGCGACACGGCGGAAGCGCTGCAGGCGATGATCCAAAGCGCCGGCGATCGCATGACAGGCGTGGATCGCGACGCTGATCGGGCTTTTCACGATCCTTCTCGCGGCCAGCGGCGTTTTCGGCGAGGTGCAATCGGCGCTGAACGCGATCTGGAAAGCGAAATCGAGACGCTCCACCATGTCGCGGCTGGTGCGGGCGCGCATCGCCAGTTTCGGCCTGGTGATGACTCTCGGCTTCGTACTGATGGTGTCACTCACTCTCAGCGCGGCTCTGACGGCGCTGGCCCGCTTCCTGAAATACAGGTTTCCCGTCGCCGAGTTCGCCGGTGCAGGCGGATCGACCTCACCATCTCGGTCGTGCTGATCTCCTGCATGTTCGCCATCATGTACAAGGTGCTGCCCGACACGCCGATCCGGTGGCGCGACGTGGCGGTCGGCGCGCTGATGGCGACGGGCCTGTTCGAAGGCGGCAAATACGTGATCGCGCTCTACATCGGCCAGACCGACATCGCCTCGAGCTTTGGCGCGGCCGGAGCACTGATCGTCCTGCTGCTTTGGATCTTCTACTCGACCCTGATCTTTCTGCTGGGCGCGGAATTCACGCGCGCCTGGACCCATGTCTATGGCGCTCGCTGCCGCGATCCAGGTTCGACCCCGCCGCATGGACTTGTCGAATGAACCCGCCCTCGCCATACCAGTGGCTATGAAATCCGCTCTTTCGACCCTGCTGATCATCCTCCTTGCGGCGCTGGCCGTGCCTGCGTCCGCGCAGTCGTATGAAGAGCAGATGCGGCAGGCGGCGGGCGCCTACGAACGCAAGGACATGGCGACCGCGGCGCGCATCTGGAAGGTCTGGGCGGGAAAGGGCGAAGCAGAAGCGCAGACCCTGCTGGGCGCGATGTACTGGAGTGGCGAGGGCGTGCAGCGAAACCTCGACGAGGCGGCGCGCCTCTATCTTGCGGCCGCCAAACAGGGATATGCGCGCGCCCAGAACAATATCGGCTTCATGCTGGGCTTCGGCGAAGGCGTCCCGCCGCGCGATGACATCGAGGCCTACAAGTGGATCAAGCTGTCGATCGACGGGTACACGGCGAAGAACCAGGACCGGCTCGATCAGGCGCGTAAAGACCTCGCGACCCTCGCTGCGCGCATGAACCCTGCGCAAATTGCCGAGGCGGAAAAGCGCGTCCGGGCATGGAAACCGACGGCCAAGATGAGGTAAGGTTCAGGACCACGCGGTGGTCACGAGCGATGCCCCGACGTCGGCCCTACAAGAAGGACTGGATGACTCGACCCTCGGTCGCTGCGGCTTTTGCCGCTTCATTGCTTTTTGGCGGGATGTCGCAAGGCATCGCCTGGCGAT